TAAGTAGTAGTGTGTGTGTGTCTCTCTCTCTCTCTCTCTCTCTCTCTCTCTCTCTCTCTCTCTCTCTCTCTCTCTCTCACACACACACACACACACACACGCACGCACAAGCACACACACACACACTCCCCGCATGGCCCCACATACTTGTCTGTGAACACATGTTCTTGACTGTGGCTACACAGATCATATATGATTAATAACAAAGCACTATAAGAGCAATAATATCATTATCATCATCATCACAATCATCATCAATGACCACCGCCATCACCACCACTATTATAACCATTACTGCTACTGCAGCTACTACTACTGTCACTGTTGTTGTTGCTGCTATGAGAACATAATGCAATTTGTGCTGTGAGGACACTATGTGCAACCAGAATTTGCTCAACCTTCCTGAGTGATTGCTAAGCAATTTCACATGGAACACATCCAGTGTGACCTTATTTACGTACACATTTTTTACTGAGACTGAACTTTATATAAAATAAAATTATTGAGATTCACATTCTCGACTGAAAGAAAATGACACGAAAAAACTCAATTTCTTGACTCGTATGAAACACTGCCCAAGATGCAAAAAACACAATAAGACTGCACACCTGCCCACTTGCTAGGCCAACGGAGAGGTCTGCAATAAAATTGTCCTCAGTCTCACCACTCCTGTGGCTGACCATCACACCCCATCCTGCAGCTTTCGAATCGAGAGCAGCCCGAATGGATTCTGTGATAGTTCCAATTTGGTTAACCTGCAACCAACAACTATCCATTATTAGATGGTTAAGAAAAATAAAAAGATGGTGTAGCATTTCTTCATATTATCATACATTGATTTGCCCAAAGTTGAAACAGTCGTAGAATACTTCCAAATTCACAGAACATGGAATGTTTACAATTTTATGATCCATGCCTATCATTTACCTGTCATTTACTCATCACGAATTCGAGTAGCTCAAATCTTACTTACTCAAAAGAAATAAAATTGGATCTTGAGAAAATCATTTGTTTGTTATTATCAGGATAGAAAAAACACTTTCAAAGGGAAGCCATCCACCAGCTACATACAAGCAAATAAAATGTCTGTATAATACTAAAATGATGCATTCAAATGATTGTAGTAAGAAGACTTACTTTCAAGAGCAAACCATTGCAAGCCTTCTTCTGGATTGCCTCCGCTATCCTTTTTGGATTAGTAACCAGCAAATCATCCCCGACTAGTTGAATGTCAACTGAAGAACACAATGAAGCCCATGAGCTCCAATCATCTTGGTCAAAAGGATCTTCAATGGAAACAATTGGGAAGTCCCTAGCAAACTCTTTGTACAATTCACACAGGCTGTGAGCCGTATATACGCTGGACCCATCATTTGGCTCATTTTTAAAGTCCAAGTCATATCTTCCATCTTTCATGAAGAATTCTGATGCTGCAACATCCATACCTATTTTGATCTGCAAAAATGTGTATCAAGCTTAAGTCGTTCCTAAACAAACAATATTATAAGATTGTAGATATTGCACACATACGAGTGCGTGAACACACACTCACACACACAGACCAACAATTGCACAAGTCACCACCTCCAAGCAACCTTGCAAGTGTCCTCTGCACCATGATGTGCAGCTTGCACACCCATGGCCTTGCACACCCGTTGGGTCAATTATAAAGACCCTTTATTTTTCTAAAGAAATCCTAGGTGTTCTATGTTCAAAAAACTAATGGGACATGACAATCACATGTCTCATACTAGTGCTATAGTTGTCATTTCTTGTTCAAACTGATGCTCATTCTTTTTTGAAGAGCCATGCTATTGTTGTGGAACCCTTAACAAAGAAAACGATTATTTTATTTTTTAGGTCAATACCTTGCCAGTGTAACCAGCTTTTTCGATTGCATCAACAAGTAATACAAGTCCCTCCCTATTATCCTGAACATTTGGGGCAAATCCCCCTTCATCTCCAACATTGCACGCATCTTGGCCATACTTTGCCTTGATGATGCCCTTCAGGATGTGATAAACTGTTCCATACTCAAAGCCAAACCATCATTCTTTGTATCTAGATACTCAAAAGAATGAGAGACTAAGTCAATCCATCAAAATAGGCAAATAAGCAAATAAAGGGGGCATAGGATAGATAAAAATATGGTAGAAGTTCACCTTCACTACCCATTTGTAGAGCCTCTGCAAATGAAGAGGCACCTACTGGTAATATCATGAACTCTTGCATTGCCAAGTTGTTACCAGCATGACTTCCTCCATTAATAACATTGAAAGCAGGGACAGGCATAACAAGCTCCTTAGTTCCAGATAGTTCCTGAATGTGTTTGTATAAAGGAATTCCTTTTGCTCCGGCGCCAGCTCTGCACACGCTTAGAGACACTCCCAATATGGCATTAGCCCCAAACTTGGACTTATTCGGAGTACCATCAAATTCCAGCATGATGGAATCCACGTCCTCTTGGTTCCTGATCGCAAGAGCACATAATAATCAAGCCATCAAATTTCTGTGTAAAAAAAAAGGTAAAGGTATGCCTGATAGTCAACTATATCCAAAAGAAAAAGCAATTGAATGTATACTTCAATGAATAATGACATAACTAAATGAAAAGCACAAAGGGAGAAAAGAGATTCACACAAGGCTTCTGAAAGTACCCTAATTAGGGAGAACATATTAGGTAACAAAAAATCGTTTTCTAGCAATCATATTCATAGGTTAGAATACCCACTAAGTAAAGCAGTGCCCTATAAAGCTGTATGAACAGGGAATTCAACATATTTAGCAAAAACTCATCGATAACCACAGAGAAAAATTCAACATTCATAATCCCGATTACAAAAATATCAAATAAGTTTAGAAAGACTCACATGCAACCAGCACTAGCAAATGTGCACACAAGCATTTAGTTGCCAGACGATAAATAAGACTGTCAGCCCCTAAAGAACATATTTCGTTTCGGTGTCCATATGGCACACTAGTAACCTATATGACACTCTGTAACTCATGAACAAAGGGATGCATAACTTTGCAAAACCCAATAAACAACTCTAGGTTGTCATGCCTTCATGTTTGATAAGTCACAAATTTTTATTATAGAGAACTAACAGAATTACAATTTATTTGTTGGGGCTTCAGACAGCAAGACAGCCCAAAACCCCATGCCGCTTTTGATACATGTGACCTTTGAGTTTGCTCTTTAGAAATGTGGACAGGGGCCTCGGAGCCAGAAGGAGAAGTTCATGCTAAGGTGATCAGAGAAACCACTTTAAGACACTTGACAATGTTAGCTCAATTTCCTTCATTGGATAAACTTT